GCTGTGGCTCAGGCTGGTCTTAAACCTTTGAGGCAGTCCACCTGCCTCAGCCTCCTAGAGGGCTGGGATTATAGGCGTGAGCCACTGAGGTAGTTTCACTGTGTCCCCCTGGGTAGAGTGCCATGGAGTCACAGCTCATAACAACTTCAAACTCTTGGGCTTAAGTGATTCTCTTGCCTCAACCTCCCAAGTAGCTGAAAGTACAGGCACCCTTCACAATGCCTATCTATCTTTAGAGATGCGTTCTCGGTCTCACTTAGGTTGGTCTTAAACCTGTGAGCTCAGGTAATCCACCCACCTTGGCCTCCCAGAATGCTAGGATTACCAGCGTGAGCCACCACACTCTGCCAGAAATATATTTTTGTAGTATGTATTGATGCATTTCTGTTTGGGTCTTGAAATACTGGTATCTCTTCAATAGATCATCCTAAAAAACTGTTTGAAAAGCACAGCTTTTGATTAATTGATCCATATGCAATAAGAATTCAAATTTCCAGTAAGTTGCATCTTTTGTGTATTTTAAATATGTGAATGCATGTTTGTAGGACATCACCCTTTCAAACATGATGTATTCTACTTAGAAAAGGAAAAAAGGCATAATATGGTGAAGACAGCAATCCAAAGAAAAGAGAAATCGGGAAAGAACCAAGAGACTGGGCATCCTTGTCTATGTTTCTTAATCTTTTGTACTGCTGTTGCTGTCATTTGGACTGAATTGCCAACCCTCTTTCCCAAACTACTGCAACAGCCTTTGTACTGGGTGCCCTGCATCTACCCAGGGCAGCTGTATAAAGTCTGTCCTCCCATAAACTATTACCATTTGCAGCCAGAGTGATCCTTTGGAAGTGAACGTCAAATTGCCATTCCTCTGCTCAAAATCCTTAATGGCTTCTTATTTTTCTTAAAGTTGAGGAGTCTTAAATTACCTCATAGAACCCTATGTGGTCTACTACTCATCCCCACTGCTTGTGTGACCGACCACAGCTCCTATATTCTCCTCCTTTTCTCTCTACTATTTTTCAAATCTGCCAAGGACACTGTATTTCGTATTGCTGCCATAACAAACTACCACATAGTTAAGCAGATCAGATTAAATAACAAGAATGCATTATCTTTCAGTTATTATGTTTGAAGTCCAACATGAGTCTTAGTGAGCCGAAATTAAGCAGTCAGCAAGTCTGTGTTTCTTTCTGGAAGCTTTAGGGGAGAAGAATTTTTATCTTTTCTTTTTCAGTTTCTATGGATTGCGAAATTTCTTAGCCTGTGGTCCCCTTCCTCCCTTCACAGCCAACTCCATTGCTTCTCTAATCATTCTATAGCAGTGGTTCTCAACCTTCCTAATGCCGCAATCCTTTAATACAGTTCCTCATGCTGTGGTGACACCCTCAACCATAAAATTATTTTTGTTGATACTTCATAACTGTAATTTTGCTACTGTTATGAATTGTAATGTAAATATATGAATCGTAATGTAAATATCTGATATGGAGGATGGTCTTAGGCTACCCCTGTGAAAGGGTCATTCAACCCCCAAAGAGTTCGCAACCCACAGGTTGAGAACAGCTCTTCTATAGTCCCATTTTCCTCTTTCTCTTCTGTGGCCCTTTTCCACTTAGAAGGACTTTTTGATTATCTTGGGCCCACCTGGATAATTAATATAGGCTAGTCTTCTATTTGGGGGTCAGCTGATTAGCATCTTTAATTTCCTTTGCAACTTTACTCTTTGTTATGTAACCTGACATATTCTTAGGCTCCAAGAATTAGGGTTCAGATTCTTTGGAGAACAATTATTCTGCCTGTTAAAGACACTTCTGCCTCCAAGACCTTATTTATTCCTCTCTCTGCCTAGAAAACTCAACTTAAAATCCTCTTGGCCCCTTTCTTACTTCATTCTGATTTCTCTGCCCTGCCTTACATTTTATCTCATAGGCTTTTGTTTACTTGCATATTTCTTCTTTCTCCCCAGAAGACTCTAAGGGTGGAGGAATTTTGTCTGTCTTGTTTATTGCTCTAACTTCAGTGTCCGTTATCTAAATATTTATCAACATAATGAATGTGTTAATGGATGGGCAGGACCTCACAGCACATTTTTACCATCTGACACAATAAGTCACTGATGGGTTTTTTTTGAGACAGACCCTCAAGCTGTCGCCCTGGGTAAAGTGCTGTGGCATCACAGCTCACAGCAACCTATAACTTTTGGGCTCAAACAATTCTTCTGCCTCCGCCTCTCAAGTAGCTGGGACTACAGGTGCCTGCCACAACACCCAGCTATTTTTTGGTTGCAGCCTTCATTGTTGTTTGGAGGTCCCGAGCTGGATTTGAACCTGCCAGCTCAGGTGTATATGGCTGGCGCCTTAGCCACTTGAACCACAGGCAGCAAGTCATCACTGATGGTTTAATGTATGTCTTCCCCATCACAGTGCAGCATCAACATGGGAAGCATTTTAAAATTAGGATGTTATACACATTTTACATTTTCCTACTCTCTAATCATTGTTCAGAACTCTGCCTGTTGCACTGAGTGCTCAACAAATACATGTCACATAAATAAATGAACCCCAGTTTGACTTTTTGTGAAAAATTAAAGCCAAGTCCTAGAAAGAAATCATCGTTTTCAAGGAAGTTATTCAAAATAGAAAAAGGATGGAAAACTAATTTTATGGAGAAGCTGAAAGAGTGTGTAAGTGATGAGGTACATCCATGATGCCGCTAATGAGACAAACAACGGTGGCAAGAATCACTGGAGATGAAAAGAAAGCAGGAGGGCCTGTTGGTTCCTTTGAATCTGGGGCTGTAGATAAATTGGCCTTTCCCAACAGTTTTTTTT